ACTAAATTTCATTCAAACAATTGGTCAGTAACATTCTAAAGTAATTTACAAGTGACAACAGTGTCTTTGCCTCTGCAGAACATTATTAAAGCATCTGTATAGATTGCAAAATTGACTGGAAGCACAATTTTTTTACATATTTTGTTTAAAACAAGAATGAAGAGTGTAGGACTCAATACCGACCCTTGGGGAACGCCATCAGTTTGTTTGAAAGTCCTAGAGGTTTTGCCATTTTCTCTTAAGTTAGAGGTTCTATTTGTTAGAAATTGATTAATAAATGAAGATATATTTCCAGATATACTGTGCTCCTTGAGTTTAGCCATAATTAGAGGCCTAAATAGCCTATTAGAATACTAAATTGTTGTAAACGTACTACTTTATACCTCGTATTGGCGATTTTGTTCCGATACCGGTAATCTGTTTGACCTTTTTGTTAAAGCTAAAAAACCGTAATTCATCTTTCTCGATTTACATATATTTATAAACCAGATACTTTTCTTTTTCATATTTAATTTTCTGTTTTATCAATATTTGGATCTTTTCCAGAAGATTTAAAATTTTCTGACCATCCCCTCTTTCTTCGCACCATGTTTGTTTTTTTTTGCATAGGCATTTGCCATTCAGCCAGTCACAACTTTTTTAAGTTCTTCCCAAAGGAAAGAGAAGAAAATAATTATCACAATGCATAGTTGGTTATTAGTAAAGGAACAAACATGGTTATTCGCTTCTCGTCTAGGGACTCATCAAGACATTAAATTAAAACACAAACTAGATCGGGTCACGGATATAGGTTTAAAACAAATGGGATAAAACAAAGGTTACTATTTTTTTAACTGGACTTACAAATTGATGTTACTTTTTGAAATAAATTTGGGCGGGTGGCTTTCAAAATAAAGCCACGACATTTGTTTGCGACCTACTTTTCTCTTGCCCTCAATCTTTCTCTAGATGATTAGTTGAGGGATTGGGTATTTTTTCCTCTCAGAATATGGCCGAGGTATCCAATTTTCCGTACCTTGATCAAATTGAATAGTTCTCTCTCATTATTTACCTTTCTTAAGACTTCCTCGTTTCTCACCCATCTGTCCATGGTATGCGGAACATTCTTCGCAACGTCCACATTTCGAAGACATTCATCTTATTAATGGAAGGTACTCTTAACGTCCATTTTCCATGCAGTATAACAATATGGACCATACATAGCACATAACCATCCTGTAGCGGAGATTGAAGGAAATATTGCGGTTGCATAGTAGCGGTTTAAATTTGATAAAAGCTTTTCTTGCTTGTTCAGTACGGTATTTTATTTCTTGTAGAGGATCCCATTGGTCATTGATCATCATTCCCAAGTATTTGAATGTTTTCACTTGATCGATTGGAACATTATCTACTTGCAGTTGTATTCTTAAAAGTGCGTTTTTTCTTATTTTCATTCATTAAGTTTTTCCAGTATTTATCTTCAAGCCATATATTTTTCCTACGGTGTTTATTTTATTTAACATTAACTGCATATCATATTCGTTGTCTGTTCAGAGCCTTTCAGTGGCTCTGCAAAAATGTTCTCCACATAGAGATTGAAGAGTGTAGGAGACAAAATAAACCCTTGTCGTACCCCTCTTTAAATATCAAATTCTTCTGTGTTGGTTGATTTGTTCAGTCTCACTCATGCTTTTTGATTGCAATAGATATTCTGGATAACTCTTATATCTTTCTCGTCAATGTTAGCGTTGTGTAGCATTTTTATCAATGCGTTATGTTTTACAGTGTCAAACGGTTTTTCATAACCGAGGAATGTTATAACTATATCCTTTCGTTGATCCCCGCAGTTTTGTACAAGCGTATTCAAGCAGAAACTGCTTCACGTTTACCCAGTCTGCTCTTGAAACCAAATTGTGTCTCACCGCTTAGATCTTCCAGTTTTCTGAACATTCTTGTGTGAAAGAAGCGAAGAAACACCTTAAGCACATGGCTCATTAAACCTATCAAATAATATAAGATATAAACCTATAAACAAATATAAACCTATAAAAATCAAAGAACGCATGCTCTGATTTAGTTTGAGTTTTCAGTAATCTTTAAGACACCCTTTGCAATGTTCCGCGAAACATATACAAAAAATACCGTCCCTTCGAGAATTAATTACGTTTTATAAAATAAATATTATTAACAGCTTTTCTACGTTTTAATCGAATCAATTTAACTAATTTTATTATTGTTTCCATGGTAAAGAAGTTTATCACACACGTATCCACACAACCACGGAACAGAGTGTTGTTATATATTCATAATATTCTTGTTTCCACTGATTGTTTACAATGTTCTTGATTGTTACAAATACATATGTAGCACCATGTTAATTGTTAATGTTGTAATGTGATTGCAAATACTAATGATCTTTGATGTAAGAGCTTTTTTCCCACATTCCGACAACCTCTTTTATTTATAGTTTATTCGTCTTCCGGGTTTGGACCGTGTCATTTGTGAGTGACCCAAAAGTGGGTTCATCTCGACGTTTCGCTACAATTATATGTAGCTTCTTCAGGAGAACAAAGAAAAGGAAAAAAGAAAACAAAAGAACAGGAAGATGGGTAGTTAGCAACGGTAACTCAGTTACTCAACGCAACCAGAGGCGAATACTAACTACCAAGATGGGCATTTGGTCACAGTAACTCAACTACTCAACGCAGCCAGAGGTGAAAACCAAATGCCAGGACAGGGATTCACGTCCAACAGCTCAGAACACTAACGCGTCGAGAGGCGGGGAGTGAATCCGACGATTACTCCGCTACCGCTCTATTTATAGTCGCGGTGCCTGTCGTGTCGGGACGTATCGGCACACTTCGTGGCGCGAACGTCAAGAAGCGCGCGCTAGCCAATCATGTGGCTGCATAGTGGTGGCGGGACCGGATTGTGGCTCTAGACTGAGATTCCAGATGGGAGACAAGTAGTATCCTTCCTCTCGATTGATATTGTGGGGATTTTTTCTTCCCGAGTATAAAATTCACAATGGAAGTAGAAAATAATCGGTCCCTTCCCTTTCTCGATGTGTTAGTCACCTCCAAGCCCAATGGCCGATTGGGTCACTCTGTTTATAGAAAAAAGACTCACACGAATCGTTACCTACATGCTTCATCACACCACCATCCTGCCCAAAAGAATTCTGTGATCAACTCTCTCATCCATCGGGCCATTTCGATTTCTGAACCCGACAACCTTAGAGAAGAACTTGGCCATCTGCAAAAATACCCTTGTCGCCAATGGTTACTCCAAGTCCACAATTCAAAATATTACACACCGACATCTAAATCCCCCTTTACACCCTAGGACAACAAATTCAGAATCTTCGGGTAATACTCCTGTGGCTTTTCTTCCGTATATTCGAAATGTCACTGATAGGATTGGCAAAATTCTTCGCAAAGAAGGTATCAGGACTACTTTTCGACCACCCAAGATAATCTCTCAATATCTACCCTCACCTAAGGACTCATTACCGCCCCTATCTTCCTGTGGTGTCTATTCTATTCCTTGTTCATGTGGACATGTGTATATTGGCGAAACTGGTCGTTCCGTCAAAACTCGGATTCAAGAGCATCAAAGATGCATTCGATCAGGTCTTTTCTCCCATTCTGCAGTTGCCGAACACTGCCAAGAAACCGGTCATTCCATATTGTTCGAAAAAACCCATATTATTTCTAAGAGCCCCTTCTTTTATTCCAGGAAAATCCGCGAATCTCTAGAGATCCGAAAAAATCCCCACAATATCAATCGAGAGGAAGGATACTACTTGTCTCCCATCTGGAATCTCAGTCTAGAGCCACAATCCGGTCCCGCCACCACTATGCAGCCACATGATTGGCTAGCGCGCGCTTCTTGACGTTCGCGCCACGAAGTGTGCCGATACGTCCCGACACGACAGGCACCGCGACTATAAATAGAGCGGTAGCGGAGTAATCGTCGGATTCACTCCCCGCCTCTCGACGCGTTAGTGTTCTGAGCTGTTGGACGTGAATCCCTGTCCTGGCATTTGGTTTTCACCTCTGGCTGCGTTGAGTAGTTGAGTTACTGTGACCAAATGCCCATCTTGGTAGTTAGTATTCGCCTCTGGTTGCGTTGAGTAACTGAGTTACCGTTGCTAACTACCCATCTTCCTGTTCTTTTGTTTTCTTTTTTCCTTTTCTTTGTTCTCCTGAAGAAGCTACATATAATTGTAGCGAAACGTCGAGATGAACCCACTTTTGGGTCACTCACAAATGACACGGTCCAAACCCGGAAGACGAATAAACTATAATTCTGACTCTGGCCGTGGAAGCCTACGATTTCATTTAACCTCTTTTATGTATGTTTTTTGACTTAAGTTTGTTATTGTATTTAAAAGAAATCCAAAAATCTTTCTCCATCTTCAAAAGAAGAAGCTTTCTATATCTCAATTATAATTTTTTTGTTGATTTTATCACTTATCCTATTCATTTTAATTTTAATGTGACAAAATACCTACACCAAAATTTATTACCAGATTTGATTTATAATAATTAATATGATGTATTAAATACAAACGTAATATATTTCTTGCTGATCTTATGCCAAAATAGTGCAAGTGGGAACTATTTATATTATTTTTTGTACCAAATGGCTTTTGTATATTATTAATATTTACTTAAAACCATAAACCAATTTCTTTTAACGGTTTACAAATACTGACTGGTGTTCTTAAAATAAATAATTTCAGTTCTACAATAGAAAAATTTTTATGATTTAAGTGCGCTGAAAAAGCAAATAGTCAAAAGTTCGATCGATTATTTATTTTTTTAGAAATAAATTTTTATACAAAAAGAAATGTTATTGTGGGGATAATATAAAAAATTTCTGCGTATAATATGCTTTTGCTAGGTCTACGAAGCAGGCAACACAGTTGTTTGGATTTGATTGATTGTGCTTTAAGTTGTATTTGATATTGTTCTATAGACTGCTCTTTTATTAATAATCTTCATTTTTAGGTAAATATGTTTTCACCTCTTCAAATGCTATATATTGGTGTCTTTTTACTAATATATACACGTTTCTCAGAAGCAGATAAAAATTATCGCTTATTAGAACACATAAGACCAATTAACTATAAGCTTAATTTAAATATAGATCCTAACGATCAAAACTTTTATGGGCAAGTTGAAATTATTTTAAAAATAGATCATGGAGTTCATGGATACGTACTCTTAAATGCTCATAATAGCTGTATCACAATCAAACATGTCACTAAGAACAACGAAAAATGCAGCTTTACCGATATCAATCCTGAGACCCAGATTTTTAGGATTCAATGTCCAACATTATTCAGGTAGTTGTATTTCAACCTTTTTTTTTTCGTTGTAAACTATTTATTTTATAAATTTCAGATCTGGTGATTCTCTATTTATAATATACGAAGGAAAATATTCGACTACAGAAATGAACGGGTTATATAAAACTTGGTACGATAACGGAACACTACTCGTGACCACTCTATTTCAGCCTGAATTTGCCAGAAAGGCGTTTCCATGTTTTGATGAGCCGTCTTTGAAAGCCACCTTCGATTTAATCATTCAATCACCTACCAAATATCGGGTTCTAGCGAACACCAAATTAGAATCGTCCAGTACCGTAAGGTAATAACTGTATTTTCTAAAATTATTTGTAATTTTTCTTTTCTTTTTTCTTTTTAATTAAAGTGTCTCGGCAACTATGGGCTATTGACACTGGTACAAAGTTTATTACAATATGTTTATGTTTACATACATATAAAATCTATTTATATACAAGTTAGGATACATTAACAACATCTTAATATAATTACACTAAGTAGTAAAGGTTTTTTTTTATAATTATGTTTATTTACAATCCACATCAAAAAGACTATTAAGTAAATGTGATACAGGTTTTGCGCGTGAAGGGGAGACATCCAATGATGTCTCATTCTACTTTGGTTGGTTTAGTTTAGTTTGGTTGGTTAGTTTAGTTTAGTTTTGGTTTAGTTCTGAAGAAGGTCTTGGGGCCAGGTTCTATGTAATCTTCTTGTGGCTGGTCCATTGTTGTATAGTTCCCTTACTAGCTCATTTTCGTGGTGAATGGTACGTTCATTTTGTGACTCCGTGGCTCTATGAATTTCTTCTCTGATGAAAGGAACCTTTAAGTCATAATGGAGTGTTTGGTTACTTACGTACCATGGCGCATCCACTATCGATCTTAGTACTTTAGACTTTAATCTTTGGATAATATTCAGCGACGTTGGCTTTGCACAGCCCCATAGGTGTAGTCTTGTAGTTTTGTTTTGGATGTTAAGTTTTGATTTACGTCCAAGAAGCCAATACATTTGCCGGAATTTTAAGTCGAGCTGCCTTCTTTTGGTCTGGATATGTTACTTTCAAGTGAGTCGTTGGTCAAGATGGAGACCAAGGTATTTAGTGTCTGTTACTGTTGGTATTCTTATATTTTCCATCCTTACAGGTGGGCATATATTGTGTCGGTTGGTAAATGTTATTTGAGTTGATTTTATGTTGCAGGTTTTGTGAGGCTTGTACGGGATCTTCATTTACGGCTAGTAGTGCTACGTCGTCAGCAAAGGAAGCGATTGTAGTATTATTGGTCTCTGGTATATCGGCTGTGTAGATTGAGAAAAGCAGCGGCCCTAGAACACTACCCTGCGGGACTCCGGAGTTGATAGGATAGAGGTTGGATTGTTGTTCTTAGAATTTTACAGAGAAATATCTATTTGATATGTAGGATTTAAGTAGGAGGAAATAGTTACTGGATAGTGCTATTTTTACTTTGTAAAGCAGACCTCTGTGCCAAACTTTGTCAAACGCTTGTGAGATTTCTAGAAATACAGCGTTGCAGTATTTCTTTTCTTCAAGACTTTTTGATATTTCATTTATCACTCGATGAACTTGTTGGGTAGTGGAGTGATTTTCCCGAAAACCAAACTGATGTTTTGGAAGTAATATAAGGAATTCGTGATCTGCGTATATCCTTTGAAGTAGCAATCTTTCAAAAACTTTGCTTACGGTTGGGAGTAGGCTGATAGGTCGATAAGATGTTACTTCATTGGGCTCTTTTCCTGGCTTGATGATCATAATGACTTCAGCAAATTTCCATATTTTTGGAAAGTATGATAAGCTTAGCATGCGGTTAAATATAACTGTTAGCAAAGTTATGGTCTTGCGAGGAAGTTGTTTTAGTACTTGTGCCGAGATTAAATCATAACCTGGGGCCTTTCGTGAATTGAGTTTGTTTATTTCTTTCCTGACTTCTGTAGAAGTAAAACTTTTAATTGGGAGTGACATTTGACATGCTGCGCTAATTAGTTCTTCCACTTCTTCATTAGGGTCTGCTGGCTCTATTTGAAGTACGTTTGTAAGATGTTCAGCAAAAACGTCCGCTTTTTCTTTGTTGGAACAGGCCCATTCGCCATTTGGTTTACGGATGGGAGGAATGGTTGTGTATGGTTTCTTTACCTTCTTAGTGGCCTTCTATAACGTCTGGTCATTTGCTGTAAGATTTTTAATGTAATGTTCGAAGGTTTCGTTGTTTACAGCTTTGATGGCTACTCCAAGTTGCCTTCGTAATCTATTGAATATATGTAGGTCTATGTTATTTCTAGATCTTTGCCCAGTTCTCCTCGCTCGACGTTTTTCAGCAATGAGTTAGCGAATGTGCAGGGGAACATTTGTGGTATGTGTTGGTTTGCGTTCAGTTCGTGGTGTAGATTGCCATGCCGCTTTTTGCACAAGTGTGGTGAAGTATTGAGCTGCTGTATCTATGTCATGTGTAGATTTGATCCGCTGATTAAGTAGTAAAGGTGACAGTCTTTTAGGAAACGAATTATGGCACTGTACATGTTTGTAGAGCCGAGTAGATCACTTAAATTATTTTGAAAGTTGTAGTAATCTCTTTGAGGTTTGTAGTAGACACATTCTAGTAATATGTGCTGAACTATTAAGGATCATTACAATGTTCACAGCCACGATGGTTTTCAGAAGACAGCAGATATCCATGAGTAAGATGAGTGTGACCTATTCTGAGCCTTCTGATGATGATATTGTCTTTTCTGTTCATTTGAGGCATGGTAGTGGAGGTAAGAGTTGGTTGAATTGTGCGTAGTTTTGTATTTTGCATGTTCCAGTGTGTTTACCTAGTGCTTAGTACGTTGTTCTTGATACTGGTCTTTAGGTCTTGGTGAAGTTGTATGTTTTCCATATTTTCTAAGGAGTAGGCCAGTTTTGCTGCATGATCAGCGTTTCCATTAATACCAATATGGGATGGTATCCAGATGATAGTTACTGAAACACCACTTTTTGACTTTTGTTGGCAGATACTGTGGATGCACTGTACAATGGGATGTATGGAGTATATATTTCTGATTGAGTCAATGGCGGTCAGTGCATATTGCTAATGATTTCTCATTAGCAATGGGCGAGTATAATGCCTTGAGTATTCCATACAGTTCGGCTGTGTCTATCTTGCATCTGGGAGAAAGCCGATGTGACGGTACTGTGTGTGTTACATTTTTCATCCTTTTATTGACAAATACATTTTTTTCCTTAGAAATATTACCACCCACAAATTCCAAAGGACTCCTGTCATGTCGTCGTATCTCGTAGCCTTTGTGGTGTCCGAATTCGAGGCTGCCGTTGAAGAAAATTCTTCGTTCAACGTATTTGCTCGACCAAGTGCTAGCCACAATATGGTAGTGGCTGTAAAGTACGGCCAGCAGCTTTACGACGCTTTAAGCCGATGGATTGGTATCGACTATGAAGATTTAGGGAATCCGCAACGGTACTTGGTAGCTGTTCCTGAGCTCTCAGCCGGTGCTATGGAAAACTGGGGATTGATCACTTTTACGTGAGTAGTTTTTTAAAGCAATATTTATTTAACCAATTACATAATTATACGCTTTTAGTGAACTGGATCTACTGGATGATGGCAACAGGACGAGAAGTGATACTAATCAAAACATCATACATGTTATGGCCCATGAAATCGCTCATCAGTGGTTTGGAAACTATGTTACCTTGGATTGGTGGTCAAATTTGTGGTTAAACGAGGGTTTTGCTACCTATTTTTCGTATATTATTACGGACATGGTAAGAAATATGAACTCTTTTAGGTAGTATTATAAAATATTAATACTATTGTCAATATTTTTTTTGTATCCCAGTTTATTACTTTAAAAATATACAGGTAAAATTTCTTCTCTTTCTTTTTTAAGTACTATCTCTATTACGGAGATTAAAAATCATTACAGCCATTCTAACTTTCTATGCAACTGTTCTAAAGAGTTGTTTTGAGCTGTAATCATACAATTTTTTTTACTCTTTATCCAAGTTAGTAATCTTCTTTCAACACTCCCTTTGCTCTCTGTTTTACCTTGGATTATGAGCCAGAAGATACATTTTTATTAGAGTGTTGCACCTTGGAACACTCTCCCAATGTACAATTTGGTCTTGTACCGGGGACCTCATGAAAATGTTAACATTTTCGACAAGAATAAACAAACTGCTTCTTTCAGATCGGAATTTTAATCAAACGAAACTCTTAAAATGATTTTCATAAAAAAAACAAAGGTAAACATATTTGTATTCAGTTCTCGTCTTATTGTCTAAAACTTATTCCAAATTTCAACATTTGAACATACCTAGCTGTTCCGCTACGTAAAGTGGAGGGGGTGATTACATCAGAAACTTTGTAATTACATCTTCTTCGAGGAATTTAAATCTTGTAATTGCATCATTGAAGAACTTATCGGTATCTTTATACGGATGAACCTAAATATTTTAGTTCATTTTCGTCGTTCTTCTTCTTCTTCATGTGCCCTCTCTTCTAAGAACGTTCTACACTGACCTTTTTCGGGGAGGTGATGATGGGAAGTTTTTGCTTTTTTCTGTGCCTTTTGTAAATTAATTGGAAATATTTGAACGTAGTTTTGAGGTTCGAATCGTTTTATAATGTCCCTTTGCCCGCTTCTTGTCGATCGACGATGTTAAATATAATAAAAAGTTGCGGAGTAATTTTGCTGGTTTTATTGACTACAATATGATGTTCGTTAGGTAACTACTTATGATAGACTGTGCTCACATAAGCTCAAATCCCCAATTTATAATCTCACAAATAATTCATACCTCAGCACAGAGGTTATTGCTTCGATCATACCATATCAACAAACTTTGAACTATTAGCTTACATTACAATTTAATCTAGGCCGTAATTGCGACACTTAGAAAGTTCAATTAGAACTAATTATTAAAATATTATACGATATGGTTTTACAAGTCTCACTTACACGGTGAAACTATAAAAGATTAAGAAATTAAGAATAATGTGAGATTACAAATTAAGAGATTAATTTTTGATTAAACATTAGTTTTTTGAAAATAATCGCTTTTCCGCTTTGACTAATGCATCAATAAACTCTTTTTGCATATATTTATCACAGAATTGTCACCATATCAAACGACTTTTTAAAGAAAAAGTAGATTTTTAAATTGTATTTTATGCATTAGCTTGAAAATGGTACCCTCAATATGGAAGTAGAAAAGCAACTGGTAGCTGGAGAAATGCAGATGCTTTTGGAACAAGACACAACTTTATCATCTTCGGCTATATCAGAACCAGAGACTGCGTTGAATACCCCGTTAGAAGCTATTAATAAATTTGACGAATTCACTTATATCAAAGGTAAAAAAGACATTCGAGAGTAAGCATTTAAGATTGATAATTATATTTTATTTTAGGGTGCAGTATCGTCCGAATGATGAAATTTATTTTAGGAGAACAACTCTTTAAGGAAGGGATACATAATTATATGAATGAAAAGTAAGAAAACATTAAATATTCCACTCCAGGTCTGCGAATTCAGTATATCACGTAAAATGCATGTTTTAAGTCAATAATTGTATTTTTCTATTATATATATTTAAATTTTTTGCAGTAAATATGGAAATGTTGATCCTGAAATTCTCCTGCGGTCGTTGCAATTAACCGCAAGAAATGAAGTGACCCATTTTCAACAGAAAATGCACAATTGGATTTACCACTCCGGTTATCCGCTGGTGACAGTAAAACAAACAAATAAATCTGCAGTTACTGTATCACAGGTACACCCTTATTAACTAAAGACCTATTATTAAAAAATATGCTTATATAGGAAATGTCTGAAATAGTTGGCTGGTTAATTAAATAAAGTAGTAAGTAATTAAAGGAACTATTTATGATTTTAAATAATAAAAAAATCGTTTAGCATAACTCATAAATCATTATCAAGTAAAAAAGCATATTTACTGTATGAAATATTTCGTTTAATCCTGCCCTTGCGTAGAAACAAACACTCTTACCTAGCGGTGGCGAGGGGCGAATTCACCTGGAAAAATTTCGAAGTCGATGGTGCACCATAATAAATTAAATAACTAATAACTATTTAAACTGTAACTTGAGCTTTTTGTACAAAATTAGGTATGCCTCACCTTACTGTAATAAACTAGATAAGGTTAAAGAAGATCTTTTTAAGGTCATGTGTTAAAAATATTCTTCTTCCTTCTTCTATGTAGGCTTTAAATCCTGTTTCTTCTTTAATATTAGCCTTCTAAATTGTTTAAATCATGGCACCATCTTTTTCTTGGTCTGCCAATACTTCTTCGACCATTTGATGATAGTGCTATTCGTACTATCCTATCCTCTATCATTATACTAATGTGTTTGTTCCACTCCTGTTTCCGTTTTGTCACCCATTCATTTACGTTTTCTATATTACAAGCTCTTCTTATGTTTCACTTCACAGAATGCCGTTCATCATGGATATGGCTTTTCTACCCTATATGTTTCTGTCTTTTATAGCAGCATCGATTGTTCCATCTTGAGTTATCTTCATAGCCAGGTACTTGTATTCATCACAGTGTCTAATTTCTACCCCATCGTCTAATATAATGGACTGATTTGTCCCTCCAATACACATGGCTTCAGTTTTCTTAATGTTGACTTCGAGACCCCATTTGTTATATTCTTCTATTAGCTTCCGAGTCATGTAACTCAAGTCGTCATGATCCTGAGCAATCAGTGTTTGGTCATCACGCGAAACATAAGGTGTATAGTGTAGTCTCGTCATTGATAGGGATTCCCATGCCATTACATTTTCTCTTCCACAGCTTGAGTGCTTGTTCCAGATAAATTTTGAAAAGGGTAGGCGAAATACAGCATCCTGCTTTAGTCCTTTCGTGACCTTAAATCCCTCAGATATCCTTGATCCAGTTTTAATTTTTGCAGTCGTTCCATTATACAGACTTTGGACTGCTTTGATAAGAGCATGCTTAATGTTGGTTTCCTGTAGGGTTGACCATAGTTTACTGAGGGTATACTGTCATATGTTTTTTGTAAGTTTACGTACACCAGGTGAACTTCTTTATTGCCGGCTGTTTTTTTCTCAATATCTTGCGTAATAAAGTACGAGAGGTCTACTGTGGATCGCCCATCTCTAAAACCAGCTTGCTCCTCTGCTTCGTAATCTCTATAGTCATTTTCTATTTTGTTCTTAACAAGTTTCTTATACATCCTACTTATTGTGCTGTTTACTGCAATTCCTCTGTAATTTTCACACTGATCCTTGCTGCTCATTTTTTGTGGATAGTTGACATGATAGATAATTTCCATTCTTTTGGTAATTCGGCCCCATTCAAGCAGACTTGAAAGAGTTTTTTTAACTGTTCCTGGAGTTTGTCTGTACCGGCTTTCACTAATTCTGCAGGGATGTCACCAGGACCAGGGGATTTTCCATTTTTCAGGGATTTGGTTATTTCTTCCATCTCTGATTTACTTATTTGTAATGGTGATGAATTTATACGTATATCTATCGTGTTGTCTTCCATGTTAGTAAATTTTAGTAAGACGGCTAAATTTTGTTATAAGATTATTGTTAAATCTGGTGGGATAATTGTGAAAATCTACATGAGCATTTTATTGGCTTTGTTTAATGTGCAATAGACACTGCATAATGTATACATAAGGTAAAGTTAAAAATTTTAAAGCTATAAAGGAGTTTCTACAGTCTGCTCTATAACAGAGCCCAGAGAAAATACGAACACACTTTTTTGTTGTGCACAATATGACAACTTTATGAACACTTTATCAATATGACAAGAGTGACCCCAGGAGAGAATAGCATATGTCAGATGAGCATGAAAATTACTATGATAAGCTGTTAAAAGTTTCCCTGGAAGTCACTTGTACAAGGTTCCTGAAGAGGAAAAGTTGTCGGGAAAGCTTTTTCGATAGATTAACTATATGTTGTTCCCAGGTTAATCCTGCATCCAAATATATCCCCAGAAACTTCGCTCCGGTTACACATTGTAGTAGAGCAACGTTTTCAACACAAGTGTTATTTCTTAGAGTAAACACACACTTTGTGTGTAAATCACAGAGTGAATCACACTTTGTGATTTAGAATTGCTCAAAGAGAGACGATTAGTTAAAAAACAATTGAATATGTTTTTTTCAGGTGTTTGGTAATCAAGGGTGTCGAATTTAGACAAAATAGTTTATTGATAGACAACTAAAATAGTTTATTGATTTTGTTGGTTATAACTTGTTATAAGCTTAAGTACGGTGTTCAGTAGATTTATACCTCTATAATTGTTGGATCTTCTTTATCTCTTTTCTTGAACATTGGTATCATTACGCTATTTCTCTATTCGTCTGTTATCTTGCAGAGCAATATTAGTTTTTGAATTAGTTTTGTCATCTCTAGGGTTATACCTTCTCCTCCGTGTTTTAGGAGCTAGTTGATTATTCTGTATGGTTCTGGTAACTTTCTATTTTTGAGTAAATTTATGGCTATCTCTACTTCCTGAAAACTAATTTCTATTTCGTGTTTTAATTTAGGTACGTTTTTGTGTTGATTATTACTTTTCTTTCCTTTAAACAGTTCTGTCAGGTATCTGTCCCATTCCTTTGTTGGTATGTTATGGTCCCTTCAATTCTGCCATTTCTTTCCGTTGATTTCTTATGAATCTCCCTATTTGTTTGTGTGTACTGTAGAAGTGGCTTTCCATCCTTTTTGTAAACTGTTCCCAGTGTTCAATTTTTGTTTTTCTCACCTTACTTTACTTTATCGTGTCCGGACATGTCATTCATAAAATTTCGGCCCAGTATCGGGCTACGTCGGTTCCATCTTTGTTGGCGAGCCACAAATCTTCAAGGGTACATCGATGAGGACAGTTGCATGTAAGAAGATGTTCCATATTCTGTGTTTCTCCACAGTCACAGTTCACATTCTTCTTCACTTTTATTCAAAGTTTTCCACGTTTTAAAGTCTAGGGTCTGGCCGGTCCATTGAACCTGGGGAAGTGAAAAATACTTAGGCGGTTCATCCTGCACTGTTTCAAGGAAGCTTTTCCTAGATTTTAGTCGCTTTCGTGGTGTTCGAGCTTTGTATAGGGCATGCCGCTCGTCCGCGATCTGTTTAATTTTCTCTATGTGTTCTGCAGCGCCTCTGTGTGTTGAGGGTTCTGCAAAACCCGCTGCTCTATATAGATTTGAAAGTGGCGTTGGTTTCATGCACGCCGTTACTATCCTGCATGTCTCATTTAGCGCAGTATCAACTTGTTTGGTGTGGGCAGATCTGCTCCAAACGGGGCACGCATATTGAGCAGTTGAGTAACACAGTGTCTGTGCCGCTGTTTTTAAAACGCCAGGACGTGCGACCAATTTACTTCCCGTTAGCTTTCTGAGTATGCTGTTTCTAGTTGTTAGTTTCCCTCTCGTTTTTATGCAATGTTGTCTGTAGGTGAGGGACCGGTCCAGAGTTCTCCAAGTTATATAGGTTGGTTTGTGTGTTCTAATGTATTACCATTCCACACAATTTGGAGTTTTCGCTTGGCTTCCTTTGTGCGAAGGTGGAAAGCGTAGACTTGGGTTTTAGAGGGATTGGGTCTCAGAGACCTCTGCAGGTAGTGCAGAGTTCTTCTCTTCTGCAGGTAGTTCAAAGTTCTTCTTACCAACTGCTTTGTTTTATTTCCTATTCTTCTATAGGTGTCTCGTGATTCTGGAGTATTTGATGTTTTGTACTTTGTGTAGGCCTCTCGTTTCTCTTTACATTTCTCTCCTATTTCTTTTCTGAACTATGGTGTGTTGTTATTGTTTCTTTTGTTTAGTCTAACTTGGCATTTTCCTAGAGCTTCTGTTGCTGCTTCTTGAATGTTGTTTTTAATTTTCTCTCAGCTCGCTTTATATATTCGATGTCATCTATTTGTTTCAGCTGTATCTTCTGTTAAAAATATTATAAATAATAAATAATATATATAAAATATTTTAATAAACACTAAATACTTTTCCAAACCTTTTTTAAATTAAAATAATTCGTGATGTTTTAGACTAGGTTCCTAAGTAACAAGAAGAAGAAATCAAAAGATCAGTGGTACGTGCCTTTAAGCTATACTAGTCAAAAAGAAAAAGATTTTTCAGGAAACATTAGAGGTTGGCTAGAGCCAGCCGAAACATACACTATTGAGCATGCTAAAGAAGATTGGCTGCTGTTGAATATACAAAGAGGGGGTAAGTCCGGTACCTTGGAATTAATCGTATTCTTCATTCCAGGTTTAAATCATTTATTCCTGCGTCAAAATTCGTTCCGTTTTTAGCATTTATATTTAGTGTTTACATTTTTCTGTCTATAACTTCTTTTCACTTTTCTAAAAAATATCACTGCGCTAGCTAGGATTTTATTTATTCCACATAACAAAGTAGTACAATTCATGTAACCCTACTTTATGTGTTATAGGATTCTATAGGGTAAACTACGACGACACATTGTGGAGTAATATCATCGATGCTTTACACAACGATGTAGAAAGAGAATCTATCGATTCTTTAGATAGAGCACAATTGGTTGACGATATATTTCACATAGCCCGAATTGGAGAAGTTAGTTATTCCAAAGCATTTGAACTGGCAAATTATTTAAGAAAAGAAACCAGTTTTTATCCATGGATGTCTGCCAATAGAGAGTTTGTTTATCAAATGGATATGGTCGATGAGGAAACTAACAAGTTATTAACAGTGAGTAATGGGACATTTTTTTTATTTTGTTCAAATGTTAATTTTGTAAGCAATCTTTATTTTAACTTTATTCTGATATAAAGTGTTTGTTTTGTCTGCTTGTTTTAGCAATTTATTCTAGAAATAATTATGGAAGCATTTCCTGAGAACACCGAGTATGTAACGCATGTGGACAAATTAAAAGAAGCTGCCATTACTGGTATGAAATGCAAACTAGAAGAGGAGGGATGTCTAGCGTTAGCAAAAAAGCAGTTCGATGATTTTAGGGACAAAAATATGTAAGAAACGTTTGAAAACGTTTACGAATAATGCATCGATGACTTTTTTAACGATAACTTATATTTTAGATTACCAAAGCTTAGCATACAAGACGCAGTCTTCTGTTATGGATTAAAAAAGAGTGATCAACTGCAAGACGACTATAAATTTCTCCTGGATGTACTTAAATTGACGCAATCTTCAGCGTTGACAAATTCGATTCTTATAGCCTTAGGATGTATGGAAGATGAAAAACTTCTTAAAAGGAAAGTATATGAGTAGATCTATTTTAAAACTTTATCATCGTATTACTCGATATTTTTTTAAGTTAATTAATAAGTAAATTGTGTAATTATTTTAGAAGTAACATACAAGAAGTTGTCCTATGACCATTTCATCATCATCATCTTTGGCTCGACAATCCTCTGTGGATCTTGGCCTGCTCTAAGATTCGTCGCCATTCTGTTCGGTTTTTGGCAACATGTTGCCATCTTCTGATTTTTAATATTCGTAAGTCGATTTCTACTCCATCTAACCACCTAATTCGCGGTCGGCCTTTGTTTCTTTTTCCTACAGGTGTTCCTGTGGTTAGCTTCTTAGCAATGGTATTTTCTGGCATTCGTATTATGTGTCCAGCCCATCTAAGTCGCTATGTTTTAATGAACGTTATGACATCTGGCTCATCAAAGAGCTGATACAATTCAAAATTATATCTTCTGCGCCACTACCCTTGGTCGTTTACAGCTCCAAATATTTTGCGGAGTATTTTACGCTCAATGACCATTTCCTACTCTATTTTAATTTTAACAAAAATTATTTGTACATTTGGGATCTACACAAAAGATACAAAAAACCTCAGTTAAGAAATCTTGTCGAAAGATCACTGGGAATGTGTCGCTTTAGTCTTAGATTTGGTAGTAACCTCATAAGGTTTGTTACAAGATTGTTGTGATGGTTTTCAAGCTACAAAGCATATTTTTGGAAGCAATTTGTGATCTCTTCTTTAACAGTCTTACCTTGAAGATGCGTAATGAACTGATTTATATCCCATAGTATATTTGGAGCGAGGAATTAGACAGGGTGACACCATCTCCCCAGAATTATTCACTTCAGCTCTGGAATATGCCTTTAAAAAACTAGATTGGGCTAAAAGGGGAATAAATATTGATGGTGAATACTTAAGCCACTTGCGTTTTGCAGATGATATTGTCAATATAGCCGAGAGTTTAAATGAAGCTCACAAAATGATGGAAGAACTAAAACAGGCAATAGAACAAATAGGCCTGAACATAAACTTTGAAAAAACAAAATACATGACCAATTTAGTTCCAAGTGATGTTATGAGGGTAGATGGGAACGAAGTACATCAAGTCTTTAGTTATATCTATTTAGGGCATGAAATTAGAATAGGAAAAGACAATCAAACTTGTAAGATCCAGCGTCGCATAGGCTTGGGATGGACAGCATTTGGCAAGATACGAGATATTCTAAAAGGAACGCTACCGATTTGCTTGAAGAAAAAGGTTTACAACCAATGCATACTGCCAGTAATAACATATGGTTCCGAAACAATAACTTTAACCAAACATTCTGCAAATAAATTGAGTGTAACCCAAAGAAAAATGGAAAGAACAATGTTGGGAATAACTAGAAGATATATGGTACCAAATAGGATAGTGAGAGAGAGAGAGGACTAAAGTGACAGATGTCATAGAAAAAATTGCACAAGCCAAATGAGATGGGCTGGACATATAGCACGTTTAAATGATAATAAGTGGACCAAAAGACTCATAGAATGGAGACCTAGAGAAGACAAAAGACACCGAGGCAGACCACCAAAAAGATGGATGGACGACTTGAGAAAAACAATCGGAAATTGGATACAGAAGGCGCAAGATAAAGAACGGTGGAAGAACATGGAGGAGACCTATATCCAACAGTGGATGCAAGAGGTTGAGGAATGATGATGATGATAATGAGTATATTTGGAATGACGTCTAGGACTTTTGATTGAAATCTACATTAGACCTGGACGCTGATCTCCACAACTGGATCGTCATCATCATCATCAGTAGCTCGATAACCCTTTCTGGCTCTTGGCTTGTTCTAGGGTTTTCCGCCATTCTGTTCTGTTCCTTGCTTTGTTTTTCCAGTTGGCAATCTTAAGTGTTTTCAAATCTTGTTCCACTTGTTCCATGTATCTAAGTTTGGGTCTTCCCTTTGACCTTCTTCCTACTGGTGTTTGCCTCATTATATGTTTTGGTGTTTCAGTCTCCTTAGATGTTTAATAAGTCCATTATATGTTTTATTAGCGATATGTATTCTTATCTTAACTAGTGAGCCTAGATATGTAAAATTTTTTAGGCTTTCGATGTTGTAGTCTCCTATTGTCAGATTCTGTAGGTTTCTTTGGCCTGTCTATTTGCTGGCTTTCATGTATTTGGTTTTATTTCGTTAATGCCACTGTTTTGTCTACTCTTTCCATCGCATTAAATGCTTCTATCTCTTTCGTTTCTAGCTATAATATCAACATCATCTGCAAATGCCAATATTTGTACACTTTTTGTTATTATTGTTCCTTTGGTGATGACTTTTGACTCTTGTGATGTGATGTGATGTTAAATAGAATATAGGATAGGGCATCTCCCTGTCGTAGGCTCGTGCTCACATGGATTGTATCTGTTAGTGCGTTTTGAATTCGAATTTTATTTTAAGTGTTTCTTTTAAATTCTCGATGGATGTTATCATAGGCACTCTCAAACTTAATGAAAAGACGATATGTGTCTATATTAAATTCACTAATCTTTTTCAAGATTTGCCTCAAGATGAAGATCTGATCTATTATGGACTTTTACCTACAGAAACCACATTGATATTCCCCAACTATTTGTTTAGCATATGGTCTCAATCGGTCATACACAATATTTATTTGACAGTATTTTATATGCCTAAGTTAGTAGTGTTATTGCCGTTGAAGCTGATCTCCCTTTTTATGTAGTGGAATAATTACTTCGGTATTCCAGTCTTGTGACAGTTGTTTATTATTCCATACGTTCACTATTAGTTCGTGTATGGCATTCAATAGGGAGTCTCTGCCTACCTTTATTAATTCTGCGTTAATGTAGTCTAATCCAGGTGACTTGTTGTTTTTCAGTCTGGTAACTGCTTCTTGCATTTCAGCTACTGAAGGTTGTTTCTCTGGTATCCGTTTGATCCAGTATAATTCCATCATATAGTGGACCTTCGTTTTTTTTTAAACCTTTCTTTGAAGAATTCTGTAGTATTTCACTCTGTTGAGTTACTATATCTCCTTCTTTGTCCCTGCACATCATTGTTCTTAGTTTAAATTATTTTCTACGTTTGTTACCTTTTTGGTAGAATTTTTTGGTTTCTGATGATTTATTTAGTCCTTCCATTTCTTGGAGTTCTTTTTCTATGTGTTCTCTTTTCTTTCTGCGATATATTTTCTTCTCTTCCCTCCTTAGCATTCTATATTCCTTCTCTGCATTTCGTGTTCTATGTCGTTGTTGTAGTCGTTGATATGCATTATTTTTCCTCTCTGTTATATTACGACACTTTTCATCGAACCACTCTCCTTCAGTTGATTTGAGCTTTTTTTTGTAGACCAAGGGTCTTTTTGGCCGCGTCTTGTATGATGTTTTTATACACTTCCCATTCTTTGTTTAAATGCTCGTGCTTTTGTCTGTTTTCTAGCCTTCCTTTTATATATTCTTTGTATTTTGCCTTTTTACTGTTGTCTGCTATTTTTTATTTAATATTTTTCAATTTTGGATCCCTTTTCTTTTTTAATGTTTGATATTCTGTCTCTTATTCTATTTTACACTAGGTAGTGTCCGAGTCTGCATTTGCCTCTCGTCTGCTGCAGACGTTTATTACGCATGAATGATGTTTAGAGTCAGTAATAACATGATAGATCATGTTTACTGTAACATAATCTGGAGATCTCCAAATTCCCTTATGAATATTTTTTCGCTGGAAGCATGTGATGACAATGACCATGTTAAGGGAAGTTACTAGATTTATTAGTCTGATGCCATTGTCATTGGATACCTCATGAAGACTGTGCTTACCTATAGTTGGTAGGTATTGTTGCTATTTTCCTATTTTTGCGTTGAAATCAGCATAAATAATTGTTAATGTCATTCTTTTGGGCATGAATGGTATGCAGCTTTTAGTTCTTCATAGAATTTTTCTTCGACATCGTCTTTCTTTTCCTCTGTAGGGGCATGCACATTTAAGATGCTATAATTAAAATATGTTCCCCTTAGTCTCAGGATACACATTCTAGAGTTCATAGCAGGAAAGTCTCTTACGAGGTGTTTAACCTTTTTATTTACAACACAACTGGATCTCATAACGCAATATTGGCTTTATGACTGATAACTAATACCTAGTAACCAGTTAAGTCTGCTAAGCTTAAGGCCTAGTTGTTTCCTTTTCATGAATATATGCTTCTTCCGTGTTAACCACCTGTCGAGGTGCATACCCAAGTATTTGACATGATATTTTTATTGAACTCTTTGGTATAAGGTACTATTACCCTCTAAAATGCTAAAAAATGGCTCAGTTTCAACAATATGTTTTTTGTATCATATTTGCAGGTTGAGCAGACAATGAGTGAGTGGCTTGCAGAGGTTTGCTAAGCTCTAAGTGCCGGAAATTTTTTCTTTTGTAGTTCTTTGTAGACGCTGCAACCATTACAGTTTGCGAAGTGGTTTCACTCACCCAGGACACACTTGAGATCGACGGATTTTTCCTTGCAAGTGCATTGAGTCCTTGCGTGTTCCTCGATCAATTTTATACAGAGTGGTCTTAGTTCGTAGGCTAATAAAAAACATCGCAGCCTGAGCTTTGGTTTTAGGATGCCCAATATTCCAAATGTTTATAACAATATGATCAAGTTTGTTCAACTCTGTTTTTAAATAATTTTTGTCAATCGAGTAGTGCAAAATTTTGAGTCTCCTTCTTCTCGTGCCACTCCTAGCGGAGATTGGAAATCATCATGGCCACTGCGACTTTGTTAGCAGCGCGCCTAAAAAGTTCAATCGAACTACACCCGAACCATTCACGTAGATTACGAAGCCACGATATTTTTCTTCTTCCCACACTTCTTTTGCCCTGCATGATGTTTCTTAAAAGTTCGTACTTTTCGCCTCTCACAATGTGCCCCAAATATTCCATCTTTCTAGTTTTTATCTCATTTAGAATTTCGCATCTTTTGTCTAAAGTTTGGAGTACTTGCGTGTTAGTGACGCGGTCCATCCATGAAATTCTGAGAATGCGCCTATAGCACCACATCTCGAAAGCTTCGATGTTTTTTATGGTCAACTGTTTTAGTGTCCAAGCCTCAACTCCATATAACAGGGTAGAAAAGACATAACACCGCAGCATTCGTATTCGTAACTTTATATTGATATCACGATTGCAAAAGAGTTTGCGCATTCTATTAAAGACTGATCTAGCGATTTCTATTCTACATCTAATCTCTTTTGTTTGATCAGTATCGACTGTGATCCAAGCACCTAGATATTTATAACAGGGCACACGCTCAATCGTTGTATTGTCTATTACAAGATTAGCTCTGATGTTCTTTGATTTCGTGATTACCATAAATTCAGTTTTTTTCAAATTAATTTTCAAGCCGTAACTGTTACAGTATATATTGAGACTTTGAACGAGATATTGTAGTTCTACTAGCGTTCCCGTTAGGAGAACTGTATCGTCAGCATACCTTATATTGTTGATTTTTGAGTACGACCCTAAAACTGCGATCATTCTTCATCTAATGGTATTAAACTTGTTTTTTTCTCCATTAACGCTTTTGTGATTATTATACAGCTATGAGTCGTTTTGGGTTGTACTTTTACTTGGTCAAAATTTAGAACTTTTGGTTCATAATTATTTTTGTCCTTTAGATTTACCTCCATTAGTGTAGTTAAATTTTTTACCCCTTGAATAAATACTGGTGAATGTTTAAGTTCCTTCTCTGGTTTCTCTGGATTTTCGATGTCTTTGCTTAGAATCTCAAATTCACTTGCGAGTTATCGTTGATTTTTTACTGGTTTACAACTCTTTTGTCTCGGCTAGTTCAATGTCTTTTATTTGGATTTTCGACGACTTTCCAAGTTTCAGTTGGGTTTTGAGTGGTAGGAGGTGGGTTATAGTATTAGGGTTGTTGCTGTGGTTGAGAATATGCTGTGGTTAAAGGTTCAGAAGAATGAACGTTAATTGTAATTGTTGATCATTGTACATTTGATATTGATTTACTCCAGTAGGTGTATGATTCATTTTCGTTTGCTGATTCCCGTTTGCAGAACTCCTTGATTGGATGTCCATTTTTGTCTTTTGGACCCCCTTTACAAAATTTTATAATACACGGCACCGACTGACCTATGGCAAGTTTACTAATTATCACCGAATTACCGTTTTTAATGACCAATACTTGATATTGTTTCGATTACTTTTATTTCACTGGTAAAAACTACGTTCCTTATAATCACCTTTTGCATGATTTTTTTATAGATTTTTGCAATTTTCTGCTGTAATTAAAATCCTAGATCCTTTTCCTTAGATCTACGATTTTGGTCTTCAGATATCTTCTGCATATTCTCTTATCACTATAGTTTATATTTTCTTCTTTGTTTTTGCAGTTATTTAGACTTAACTTTAGACCCGAAGATTTTCATTAGAAAACAAGACTTTCAAGTAGTTTTTAATGCTGTTTATTTCAACAATAAAGTGGGTGTTTCTGCAGCTTTGGACTTTTTAGAGAAAAACTTAAAAGAAATGGATGTGGCGTAAGTAAAATATTTTTAATATAGATTTACTTTCTATGCGAGCATATCTATATAATTTTATTGTTAAAATTATTGTTTTTACTCCAGATATGATGGAGGTAATCAACTCTATGGTCTGTTGATTGATTTTGCAACCAAGTTGTCTACACCAGAAGAAGTTCAAAAGGTACGTACAAAGGTTTATTAAAAAATTTTCTAGTATACTCAATTATAATGTCTTCTTCATTATTGTGCCTTTCGCGACGAAGGTTGACAATCATCATGGCTATTCTTATCTTAGATGCTGCCTCTCTGAATAGTTCAATTGATGTGAAATCCGTGTCATTCCCACAAGTAAGATTCTTCTCCTTCCTACACTTCTCTTGCTCTGAATTTTCCCTTGTATAATTAATTAAAGTATGTTGTACTTCGCAAAACATGCCCCAGGTACTGCAGATTTTGTGTCTTGATGGTCTCCAATACTTCCATTCTTTTGTTGACTCTTCTCATGATTTCGTTGTTTGTTACATGCTCGGTCCATGATATATTCAGGATTTTTCTATACACCCACAGTTTAAATGCTTCCAACTTTTTAGTAGTCGACGCATTAAGTGTCCATGCTTCTATCCCGTAAAGCAGAGTCGAGAAAATATAACACCTTGCTATCCTAACTCTCAAGTCTAATTTCAGTTCTCATGCTTTCCCATTCAAACTTTGATTTATTTGGAGTAATCATTTGTGTCATTAAATATTGTGCAAAGATAATTATAGTTTTTAACCTGTTCTAAAGTTTTACCGTTAATTGGCAGGCTTTTATCATTATTTTGAGTTTTTAATATCCTCATAAATTTAGTTTTCTTGATTTATTGGTAATTCATATTCTTATCCATATTTAACTATCTTGTTCATTAGCTTTTGGACGTCTTGGAGGTCTGTTATTATGATAGCATCGTCTGCATATCTAACGTTGTTACTTGGTGTTCCATTGATCTTGGTTTCTGCTGTTTCTCCCTCAAGAGCTTTTTTCATAATTTCTTCAGAGTACGCATTGAATAATAAAGAAGATAATGCAGAAACTCTAACTATTGACCAAAAATGGGGAAAAATTCAACATGCCCTTGTGTCAGTTGGAAAAGAAACCCTTAAACCACTTAAAGAAAAAACAAAACCTTGGATGACAGTAGAAATTCTTGAACTCATGGAAGAACGAAGAAAACATAAAGCAAAAGACCTGAATAAATATAAAGAAATTCAGAGAAACATCAGAAAGAAAATCCGAAAGGCAAAAGAGAGGTGGCTCTCCGATAGATGCAAGGAAATAGAAGATCTGGATAAAAAGTACGATAGCTTTAATTTACACAAAAAAATCAAAGAAATGACAGGTTCTAGAAAGCGTACAAAAACGAATATCCCTAAAAATGATAAAGGGGATATTATTACTGATATGAAGGAGAGATTATGTTACTGGACCAATTACATTCAACAACTATTTAATGATGAAAGAGAAGAACTGTCATTAGAAATCACCGAGGATACTGAACCACCAATATTAAGAGAAGAAGTCATCTATGCCATTAAAAACACAAAAGAGGGTAAAGCTACTGGACCAGATGAGGTGCCCATCGAATTATTAAAACTCATCGATGAAGATGTTATTGATGTAATGGTTGAACTCTTTAATCTAATATATCAGACTGCCACAATCCCCAGAGAATGGCTGCAATCAACCTTTGTAGCAATTCCCAAAAAAACCAAGTTCAACAACTTGCTCAGACCACAGAACAATAGCTTTAATGAGTCACACACTTAAAACATTTTTGAAAATAATTCACAGCAAAATAGTTAAAACTCTTGAATATGAGATTAGTGACACACAATTTGGCTTTAGAAATGGTATGAGTACAAGAGATGCTTTGTTCGGCTTGAATGTGCTGGTTCAGAGATAAATGGACATGAATCAGGATATGTACTTATGTTTTGTAGACTTTGAGAAGGCATTTGATAAAGTTCAACATAAAAAGCTTGTAGATATATTAAAAAGCAAAAATATTGACAGTCGTGATCTGAAAATTATATCTAATTTATATTGGAATCAAACTGCCAAGGTAAGAGTTGACAGCCAGTAGGTACACCGAAAATATCAAAATACAGAGAGGAGTCCGCCAGGGTTGCGTGCTGTCCCCACTACTTTTCAATGTCTACAGTGAAGCCATTATTTCAAGAAGCGCTCTCAGACTCAATAGAAGGTATATCTATCAATGGAGAAGTTTTGAATAACTTACGTTTTGCAGACGATACAGTAATAATTACGGATAACAACAATAATTTACAGAACCTAATGCAACGCCTTAATGAACGCTGTCATGAGTACGGACTGAAGATAAATTTAAAGAAAACTAAATGCATGATCATGACTAAATCTGCACATGCAAATATCCAATTGACTATTAAAGATACTGCAATTGAGAATGTTAATAACTATAAATATTTAGGAACATGGATAACATCAGATGTAGACCAAACCAAAGAAATTAAGACACGTATTGAAATAGCACGTACATCATTTATTAAACTTAAAAAGTTTCTTTGTTGTCGGGATATAAGGTTAGAACTACGCCTGAGAATGCTTCGATGTTACGTGTTCTCTACTCTTCTTTATGGCCCGGAAGCTTGGACACTCAAACAAGTTCATCTGAATAAGCTGGCCGCCTTTGAATTTTGGCGTTACAGAAGAATCCTACGAATATCATGGATTCAAAGAATGTCAAACATGGAAGTAACTAGAAGAATAGGAAATGAGGCGGAAATAATATTAACTATTAAAAGACGAAAACTTGAGTACTTGGGACATGTGATGAGAGGGCAAAAATACGCATTATTACAACTTATTATGCAGGGCAAAATTCGAGGAAAGCGAATTGTGGGAAGACGAAGAATATCCTGGCTTAAGAACATAAGGGAATGGTTTGAATGCAGTAGTGCAGAACTTTTTAGAGCGGCAGTCAACAGAGTCCGCATAGCCATGATGATTTCCAACCTTCGATAGAAGATGGAACTTAAAGAAGAAGAACGCATTGAATAATACTGGTGACAATACACACCCCTGTCGCACTAGTCCTTTAATTTCGAACTCTTCTGAGGTGTGTTGATTAATGCGTAAGTGTGTCTGCTGTTTATAATATAGATTTGTTGTAATTCGAAGGTAAGTGTATTTTAATTGATTTGCTTTGAGGACGTCCATTAGCTCTTTGTGGCAGACTTTATTGAAAAACATTTTACGGGTGTGACACATCAGTTTTACGGTGCGACATTCTCTAGCATTTTTCTTTTTGGGTAGGCAGATAAATGTTGAGGCCAACCATTCATTGGGTATGTCGCCCGACTGATAAATTTCATTAAAGAGCTTTAAAAGAACATCCATATACTCGTTTTCTATTATTTTAAGGATATCAATAGGCAGTTGATCTGGCTTCGGGTTTTTTACATTTCCGGTGTTCTTTGGTGTATACAATATTTCTTTCTTCGTAATTTCTATACTTGTTACTCTATCGAAAGATATGTCTTGAAGGTTTCCTCTTTCGTCGTCGAAGAGCTCTTCCATATATTATGTCCATCGTTTTAGCTATTTGAGTAATTTCATTTTCATCTAAAAGAGTTGTGTTGCGGTTTCTTTTTTGCAGTCCTGCTATTTCTTAAACCTTTTTATGTAGGTTGAATAGGTCGTATTTATTCTGAAGATCTTTTGTCTCTTTACATTTTTCCTCACAGTAAGTTTGTTTTGCCTCTCTTATCACTTTTCTGATTTCATTGTTATTGATTGTGTAATTGTGACTGTCTTTGTTCTTGGCTTTGCATGGAACGAGGATGCAGTTTTTTATTGTTTCCCATTGTTGGTTTATCTCATAGGTATTGCAAAGAGATTGCCAATAAATGATTTAAATCTTTCTATCAAATTAATGAGTTATTTTTTCTAGATGAAAAAAATCCTCGAGACTTACAAAGACAACGAAAACGTCCAGCTGGCCAAATCCAGTGTCTTGGATACGATTGAAACAAATCATCAATGGAACATAGACTATGGCAATCAACTTAAAGATGTATTGCTGAAGCATGTACATTCTGCACAACCAAATCACCTCTCAGGGCATACCATTTATATTTATATCTTTGTGTTGTTTATCAACATTATTATGACATTGTAGGATAGTTTTAAGTAGTTGAAATTATTATACTCTGTTGTGTATAGATTTTTATAAATAAATATTAATTAATATAGTTTTTTATTTCTCTCTCTTAAAAAATAACTCCAATTAACGAAAATGAGCAAACCTTCATACTTTTATTTATTCTTGGCAACGGTGCAAGGACTTGCATAATGCTTAGTGCTGACATCTACAACAATTTGAATTCAAGTAAGACATTCGAAATTTGCGTGGACTAGAAAAAAGGGTGCAAAAAAGCAAATATATCAGAGAAGTAATATTTGTTGGAGTGTTGTTTTGTGTAATAAGATCAGAATTCTGACCCATATTTGAACAGTAATATTTACGTTTAGATCGCATTTCGCATTACATGAAAATGTAGTTTACCTATAATGCAGTGAATAGTTGGTATTCGGTAACGAGTATAGATTTTGATATCGATTTGTAAAAACTTTTAGATTAACTGAGTACATAATTGTGTTATTTAATGATAAAAATAAAGTTTGGAGGAGGTAGGTAATAATAAAAATATTCGTTTGATGCTGTAGAAGGTAAGTAGTTTTTATTATGCGTTCATGTATGATTACTAAATTATAAATCGTTAACATATTTCGTACTGTATATTAATATTGAAATGATTTTATACTGATATCCTTTTATTACAATATTTAATTATTATTCGTTTGTAATTTGGGTTAAATGAAATTTTATTACAAGGCTTGCTTTTACTGAAATCACAAAATTTTGTTTTGTCTTCGGACAGTGTTGCCGTGCAACGATTTTTAAGCAACTATGATCCTTATGAATTCTTTTCTTTATTTTCTCATTCTCACATTTTTTTGAGATATATTGACCAAATAATGTGAAATATATGCCTACATGTATGTGTACTATTCTTATTCGCTTTCCAATATAAATTAAGTAAACATCTCATTCTAATAGTATGATACTATAAAATATTTCTTTCAACTAACCCTAATAGTTTTAATTCTTTTTGGCAACATTGTACGGTCTTGCGCAATATTTAGTAGCGACAAGAATTTGAATTTAGTTTGACATGTAAAATTTTTGTGGAATAGAAAAAAGCATATAAAAAGTTTGTATTTATTAGAGAATTCAAACACACTACAGCTCTTTTTTGTAATAAATTCGTAATTTTTGCATAAACGTTAAGATTGGAACGTGTTTAATGCTAAAACGGAGTTTGTAATGCAGCGAATGACTTTAGTTGCGTTTTCAGTCAGGAAAATAGATTGTGAATGAATAAATCGTTTTTAGATTAACTATATCGATGTGATCATGTGTTATTTAATCGGTTGGAAGGATATGTTCTTCTGATGTAGTACAAGGTAAGCTGTTTTTATTATACTTTCAACATGTTTATTTATTTATGATTACTGTATTATAATATAAATCGTTAACATTAATCGTCTTTATTTAAGTATTGAATTATTTTTGTATTACTATCTTTTATTATAATATTCTTATTATGCATTTCAAACTAGGGGTCAATGACATTTTATAACAAAGCCGGCTTTTCCTGGAATCGCAAATTTTGATTTTGTCTTTTGACAGGGTTGCCATGCATTTATTAATAAGAAAATGTAATCCAAGGCTTGTTTTTCTATCAATCTCTACAATTTTTAAGATTCTTTTTCTTGATGTGCCCATCCGTTACGAATGTTGGCAATCATCATGGCAATTTTTATCTTATCCGTAGCAGCGCGGAAAAGCTGCACAGATGTATTGCACCAGATTCTGAGGTTCTTTAATCAAGATGGTCTTCTTCTTCCTGGACCTCGCTTTCCTAATATTTTTCCTTGCAGGATGGCTTGAAGGAGAGCATATCTGGATTCATTTCACAAGTCCGAAGAATTGTAACTTTCGAGATTTGATATTGGTCAGAACCTCTCAGTTCTTATTCAGTTTTCTGAGGACCTCTCCATTTGTGACTCGGTCAATCCACGTGATCTTAAGTATTCTCTGATATAGCTACATCTCAAATGCAGTTTTCTGCAGATATCTTCATTCAAGGTCCACGATTCAACACCATAGAAGACGTAGCATCGCAGCATTCTTACTTTTGTATCAAGAGAGAGGTTGTGACTCTTGAAGAAGGTCCCCATCCGATTGAAAGTGGATCTAGTTTTTCCGATGCTTGCTCTAATCTCCTGGTTGTTTATATTGGGTCCATATTGTTGATTGTAATACGTGATTTTGTTCATAAGAACTTGTAGGTCTTCTAAGTTGTTCGCAAATACTATGGTGTCATCTGCATATCTGGTGTTGTTTAGCCGGTAACCATTTAGTAGAATACGTTTTTGAGTTTCGTACAAAGCTTCGATAAATATTATTTCAGAGTACAGACTGAAGATTCTTTCTTCTTCTTCTTCGTCTAGCCATTCACATCCACATCTGAACATAAGACTCTTCAAGTCTTCCTTTCCATTGTTTTTTATTGTACGCTACTTGTGCCAATTTTTCCCGGCAGTCCTTTTCAGATCATCTGTCCATCTCATAGGAGGTCTGCCTCTGGGTCTTTTGTGTTGGTATGGTCTCCAGGTTAAAATTGATCTGTGCCATTTGTTTAGATCGCTCCTAGCTACATGTCGAGCGTATTCCCATTTCAACTTTAATGATTTTTGCACCACATCGGTGACTTTGGTTTTCTGTCTTATCCATGCGTTTGTTTTCTTGTCCTTAAGTGATATACCTAGCATTGCTCTTTCCATCGCATGTTGAGTGACTATATTAATATAAGTATATTAATATTCTTTTTTGTGATTGTCCATGTTTGTGCCGCATAAGTTAATATCGGAATAATGCATGCATCAAAAACTTTAGATCTAAGATGTAATTGGATTTGTTGATTTCTGAGTATATAGTTCAGTTTACCGAATGCTGCCCAAGCTAACTTTCTTCTTCTTTTTATTTCTTCAGTTTGAATTTCCCTATTTAGGATTATTTTTTGTCCTAAGTATATATATTCTTCAACTTTTTCTATAACTTTATCGTTTATTATTGTCACGGTGTCTTCGGAGTGCATGACTTTTGTTTTGTTTAAATTCATTTTCAGTCCTATTTTAGAAGATTCGGTATGTAGTTCTAAAAGCATGGTTTGCATTTCTTGTAGGTCAGTAGCTATCAGGATTATGTCATCTGCAAATCGTAGATTACTGAGGTAGCGGCCATTGATGTTTATTCCCTTATATTTCCAATTTAGGTTTTTAAAAACGTCCTCCAAAACTAAGGTGAACAGTTTGGGTGATAAAGTATCTCCCTGTTTGACTCCCCTGTTTAATGGTACAGGGTTCGTATGTTCATTTTCATTTAGGTAGTATGTAGCTGTAGCTTGGTTCATAGTTTCTTTTATTAAGTTAATATATCTGCTGTCTATTCTACAATTTTCCATTGCGTTTATTACGGCTGTGTGTTCTATGGTATCGAAAGCTTTTTCGTAGTCTACAAATGCTAGGAAAACTGGAAACTTGTATTCGTTACATTTTTCTATTAATATTTTTGTGGTTAACAGGTGATCGGAAGTTGAATAGCCCTTTCTAAAACCTGCCTGTTCATATGGTTGGTATTCGTCCAATTTCCTTGTTAGTCGAGTAGTTATGATTTTAGTGAGTATTTTAAACAGGTGTGAGAGTAGGCTGATGGGTCTGTAGTTTTCCAATTTTCGACTATCACCTTTCTTGTGTAATAAGATTATTTTAGAGTTGTTCCAGCTCTTAGGGACTTTGCCCTGATGTAAACAACTGTCCACAAGCTTAGTTAAAATTGCAATTAGTTCCTTACCTCCTTCTAATATCATATCTGTGGTAATACTATCTTCTCCTGCAGCTTTATTTCTCTTCATGTTTTCCAATGCTGTAGTTACCTCTGAAATTGTTACTTTTGGCATTATTTCTGATCCAACATTTTTTATTAATTTTCGTGCTGGTCTCATCTCATCATCTTGTTGATGTGTTCTGTAAAGTTCTGTGTAAAATTCTTCTATTCCTGTCAGTATGTTTTCTCTACTTGTGATTTCATTTTCGTCTTTTCCCATTAATGATATCATCTGACGTCGTCCTAGTGTTGGTCTGAGGCATTTCATACTCTTATTTTTTTCAATAGTTGTTGTTATTAATTTTTTGTTTTCTTTTCTTTTTTGTTGTCTGATTCCTTCTCTAATCTGTCTATCAAGTTCTCTATATTCGTCGGTTCCCCTTTTGTTAGATTTATTTAAGATCTTCCTTCTTTCTATTTGTTGTAATATTTCTTTGTCTAATTCATTGTATGTTGTTTTTGGTTTTTTCAGTCGCGGAAGGCTTTTATTCACTGTTTCGGTAATAAGGTTATTCAAATCATCAATATCATTGGAGTTTATCTGCTGCATGCTAACTTGATTTAATGCATGCACTATCTTTTTATAAAATTCACTATTTTTGATTTCTTCAGATGTCCATTTGTATCTTTTTTCATGTATTCTTTTTCTTTCTAGTTTTTTGTTAATTATTAGTTTTGTTCTTATTAGTCTATGATCGCTTCCTAGGTCAAACTGATTTAATACTGATACGTCTTCTACTAGGTTTCTATTCTTCGTTAAGATATAATCTGAACTGAAGATTAGAGGAGACAAAATACAGTCTTGCCTCACTCTACGCATGATTTTTACAAAGTCAGTGTGTTCACCTTCAACTCTGAGATATGCGATTTGATTCCAGTAAAGATTTCTAATTATTTTCAGATCTTGGTTGTAAATTCCTGCTTCTTTTAGTATTTACATCATCTTGGCGTGCTGTACTTGATCAAACAGTTTCTCGTAATTAACCAGACATGCGTATACGTCGTAGTTGACATCTCTGCATCTCTGGAATAAGACGTGTACTGAGAACAAAGCCTTTGTAGTACCAACAGCATTTGTGAACCCGAACTGGTTGGGCGAAATTTGACTTTTACACAGCTTGTACATTCTCTTATAAATTATCTTTAAGAACAATTTTAGGAGATGA